AAAAAAAAAAGTGGTTTTCAGTGGGAAATGGGTTCAGTATAAAGGCAGGAGCCTTTATACTGATAAAATTCGTTCATAGTTTAAGTATGGTATAGTTAGACAACTTTATGCTTGTGTGAAAATTCACAGAATCATACATCAAAAAGTGAATTTTCCTATTTGTAAATTTCCCTCCAGTACTAGAAATTGAACCCAGGCATGCTCTACACTGAGATCATCTCCAACCTTGTTTTAAATCTTATTTTTAGACAGGGTCTTGCTGACTCACTCAGACTGACCTTGAATTTATGATCCTCCTACCTCAGTTTCTCTGGTAGCTGGGATTACAGGCTTGTGCTATCAAGTGTGGCTCCTATGTATATTTTTAGAAGTGGGAAAGCAGGGCTGGGGTTGTGGCTCATTGGTACAGCGCTTGTCTAGCACATATGAGGCACTGGGTTTGGTCCTTCTTAGCACCACATAAAAATAAATAAGGATATTTTTTTAAGAAGAAGCGGGAAGGGGCTGTGACTGTGGCTAAGTAGTAGAGTGCTCACCTAGCATTCATGAGGCACTGGGTTCGATCCTCAGCACCACATAAATATAAAAATAAAGATATTGTGTCCACCCAAAACTTTAAAAAAAAGCGGGAAAACAATTTGAAATTTAATATTGACAGATTTAATGTTATTAGCACATTTATACACCTTATTCACATTTTTTAAATTGTCCCAATAATGTTCTTTTTTGTAGAGAAAAACTCAAATCACAATTAACATTAGTCATCATGTGTCATGGTTTCTTGTAATCTGAACAGTTATTTTTTCTTTGTATCTTATGACCTTGACATTTTTTGTTCAGAGTAGATTGATAATTTTGTAGGATGGCCTTCAGTTTGGGTTAGTCTGATGTTTTCTTATGAGTAAATTTAGGTTTTGTAGTTTTGACAAGGGGTATCTCAAAAGCAATGATACGTTATTCTCAGTATATCATTTAAGAGGCACATAATGTTAAGGGGTGTCTGCAAGATTTTTCCACTATAAGGTTACTGTTTTAACCTTTGTGAATATTAAGTATCTTACAGAGAAATATTTTGAGATAATGCAACAGTCCTGCTAACTTATCAAATTTTCACTTGCTGACTTCTGAATCTCTTGGTGATGATGATGATGATGATGATGATGATCCCACCCGGCCCTGGCCCCTTTTAGTACTAGGGATTGAATCCAGGGCCTTGGGCATGCTAGGAAAATGTTCTGCCACTGAGTTACACCCCCAGCCTCTTTTTTTTTTTTTTTTTAAGTTGTAAATGTACACAACACCTTTATTTATTTATTTTTTTTAATGTGGTGCTTAGGATCGAACCTAGTGCCTTCTACATTCCAGGCAAGCTCTCTACCATTGAGCTACAACCCCAGCCCAATCCCCAGCCCTTTCAATTTCTTTTTTCTTTTTTGGCACCAGGGATTGAACTCAGGAGCACTTGACCACTGAGCCACATCCCCAGCCCCTTTTTTATATTTTATTTAGAGACAGGGTATCACTGAGTTGCTTAGCACCTTGCTTTTTACTGAGGCTGGCTTTGAACTCATGATTCTCCTGCCTCAGCCTCTGAGCTGCTGGGATTACGGACATGTGCCACTGTGCCCAAATTAATTTCATCTTTTTAAAAATATTTTTTAGTTGTAGATGAGCACAATATCTTTCTTTTCTTTCTTCCTTTTGAACCCAGTGCCTCACACATGCTAGGCAAGTGTTCTACCAATGAGCCACAACCCCAGACCCTTAATTTCGTTTTGAGACAGGGTCTCACCAAGTTGCCCACAATCACCTAGAACTTGTGATACTCCTACCTCAGCCTCCCAAGTTGCTGGGCCCACAGATGTGCAACATCACATTCAACAATGATAATTCTTGCCTGCACCATCTAGTTATCCTTAAATAGAATTTATTGGATATAATTGAGCTTGTTGATCCAGAACAATTAAGCACATTTCTTATTGGGTTTCCTCATAGATAAGAATGAAATTATTGTATTGCTGAGGTCTCCTGAGTGATGTTGGAGAGCCTCTGAGGGCCACCCAGGCAACTACTTTGGTACGATGACTATTTCATCATTCCCACTATTAAGACTAGAATTCTTTACCCGTTTTCACTGGCATTCAGCATTTCCTCTTCAGTATTAGAAGGATATCTATTCCTTGCCCCTGGTGTCACAATGTTTGTGAGTTTTCTTTTTCCTCTTGGCTAAGAGTTATTTTTAACACTACAACCTAGTTTCCTCATTTGTCATGCTTTATTGTTATTAACTCAACTATCTCCCCCGCTCCCCTTTTATTTTGGTACTAGGGTTTGAACCCAGAAGTGCTTTACCACAGATCCACACCCCCATCCCTAATGACACAGTCTCACTAAGTTGCTTAGGGCCTTTCTCAGTTGCTGAGGCTGTCCTTGTACTTGAGATCTCTTACCTCAGCCTCCAGAGTTGCTGAGATTATAGGTGTGTAGCACTACCCCCAGTCCTTTCCCCAATTTTTGGCAAAAGTTCTCATTCCTTTTCTTTCTTTTCCAAAATGAGGAGGGTAATAATTTAGAACTCTGAAGTTCTTGCTTCTTTGATCCTTTGCTTATAGCCTATTTTTCTTCTTTGTCTTAATTTTAGCATCTCTTAATCATCAAGTTAAATCTTATAAAGATTTTTGCCGAAAAGAAATATTTTGGGGTTCTGATCTGTCATGCCAGCTAAAGGCAATGAACAAAGCACACAGATGTTAGCCACAGTAGTGAAGTTTCTGAAAGAGCCTTAGGTAACAGTGCATTTTTCATCTTTTACTACCTTTAAAAGTGTAATATCTGGGGCTGGGGCTTTTTAAAAATATTTTTTAGTTGTAGATGAACACAATGTCAGTGGTAGAACACTCATCTAGCACGAGTGAGGCACTGGGTTCGATCCTCAGCACCAAATAAATAAATACAATAAAGGTATTGTGTCCATCTATAACTAAAACTATTTTTTAAAAAAAGTGTAATATCTGATACAAGCAAAAAAGTATAACTTATATGTAGGTTTAAGACACAGTAATGATTATATAATAATTATTATTTCATACATGCATGAAAATTTTCAGGTAAATACTTATGGGTTGTCTAATTTCTGGACCTAAAAATAAGCTAACTCCCCAGTCAGAATGTGACAACTATATGTAATATAATAAATACATTAACTTCAAGTTTTAAGATATTAATGTTGCAAATGTAGTTGCAGAAAATAGAATTCAAGTAATAAATAATTTGTTTTTCTTGAATTTACCTTGAGAATAGTGGTTTACATTATGTCAATTAGCAGATTTTTAGCACTTTTTGGACTCATTTTTTTACTTGGGACTATTATTTCACCCTACTTAGTTATGCAAATCTGATTGACATTTTAGATTCGTAACTACTATTTGAGGTGAGAGTGTCAAGAAAGGACTCTAATCCTAAACCACTGATTAAATATTGTTTTGTGTTAAGAGTTGTGCTACTTAATTGACAATAAGCAAATATAAGAAGAAGCAGAAGAAAAAACTGTTTTTTGGGATCCATACTTGGAGATTTGTACTAACCAAACATATACAATAGCTGGGAACTAGTTATTTAAAATAGTGTTAATTATTGTGGTTTAACTTGTTATCAACTAAGTGTGGACTGGAACTTCTTTGTGTCCAGTGTCAACTTGTGTCAAAGGATGATTAAACTGGACTTCCAATTGATGTGATCTTCTAGGCAATGCTTAAACAAAGATGAAATATTTTCTACCCAGATCCCTGCTTACATTTTTTTATATACATGGGCATGTATTTTCCTATACATATATGTATGTCTATATGTATATAAATCTTAAAATGAATAAATGCATAAAATATACATGACATTCTAGCTTACAGAATTAGAAATGTAATTCAGTTTACTTCCACAGAATAAGATTGAAAATAATGAGAACTGAATTAAAGCTTACTTTCTTTCACAGAATTCCTCAGAGAGAGAAGACTGTAATAATGGTGAACCCCCTAGGAAGATAATACCAGAGAAGAATTCACTTAGACAGGTATGAAATTCAGTCTTACTTAAAAAATCAAAAGCTATCAGCAGACAGGAAGTCCTTGATTTGCCGTTCTTTAAACATTGGAGCTTAAGTTAAGAGTCTTATACTCTGAAGTTGATCTGGCCATAGCCATCTGTCAGGTAATATTATGTACAATCATTTAAAAAAATCCTAAGTGCAAAAGTAAAAGTTGGTTATATGTAGTTAATGTTAAAATCAAAGAAACGGAGTCCTGTTCAGGAAAAATTAAGTACTTCTTAAGTACAGACGGTAGAATAATTGACTCTAAATCTTTTTTTCCTGTTAAGATTTTTAATACTTTTTTAAAGTTAATTACCAAAATAGATCTGCTTGTAATTAAGTTAGCTTGAGCAATATTTTGTTTGCTTTTTCTAGAAGTAAAGGCCACTATCGATGATTTCTTTGAAAATTTTTTTGTTCACTGCTGTGTCCCTACCTCCAAAAGGTAACATGTTTTACTTGTGAATGTTCAATTCTGTGGTGCTCTTTCTTTAAAAAATAAAATGTCTAAAATACTGGCCCCCAAAAAATTTCCTTCTCACTACCTATAGCATCGGCCTCACTAATTGAAAACAAAAACAAGTTCTTTAAGTATTGCCAAAGAATAAAAATGCCATCTATTTTTTATATAAAATTGGATAAGATGAGGACCAACAACAGTAAAAATAATTTTAAGGTACTTGCATTTAAGGCATTATAGGACAGAGGGGAAGATACCTAATATTTGTTGAGCACCCACAACAAACATGATACTTACCTAATTCTCATAGTAACCCTGTAAAGTTGTTGGATATGATGTGATTTCCAGTTTATAGACGAGGAAAATGGAACCTTGGCAAGGTTAAATGACTGTTGTGAGTCAGTGATTTGAAACTCAGACCTCACTGGTGGTAGAGTGTTTCTACTTCTGCTTTCTGACTGCTGTTTTTTCATAGTGTTGATTGGACACAGTCATTTTTTATTTGTTATATGTTAACTTTTTTTTTTTTTTGAGCAGGCACTTTTTCCTTCTTTATAAAATAATTGTTTTACATGGAATTGAGTCAGTTCAGGAAGCTTTGTAAACAAACAAACCAAATGATCAGTAATTGATGTTGATACAGTTACAGTTTTAACTATTTGGAATTTATTTAAGTCAATAGAATAGTATTGAATAAAGTAAATTGGGAGGTGGGAACACTGCCCACTATATAGGAACAACCATCAGAAAACAATGACACGACAAAAAGTTTTGGCAACTTTATTTAAGCTAACAAACGAATTTTCACTCTGCAAAGTTATAAATTAATTTTAATAGGCTGATCCAGATGGTCCATTTGGAAAATGGATAGGCTGATCTGTTGAAAATTAAACTAAATTTATCTCTCTCATACTTCAAACTGAAGCAAGAGAGAGAATCGTGCCTATTAAGTCCAGCACATACAGATGGACCAGCAGGTCACACATGGGACTAATCTGATTCATTTTAAAAATAAATGCATACATTATTGAATCATTTTCTACTAGCAAGATCTGTTCTATGTAGTATATGAAAGAGATTTAGTGTTGTTTTTTCCATTGCTGTTTTAGAAGGTTCTCTTCATCCCCGCCACTTTAATTTAACAGCCCTTTTTTTTCCCTCTAGTGCTCCAAAATGATTTTTCTAATATCTGTCATTCAGTGTTGAGATCCAAGCTCAGGAGATTAATTAGGTCATGAGGCTTTTCGCCCTCCCTTCTTTGTCAAGGGTTTTATCTCTATTCTCTTTGTGAAGAGCATGAACTCAATGTTCTTGGAAAGAGAAATGGCCTTTAGAAACAGGGAAGTAGGAGATCCTCCAGGGGCCCTCAGAGTCTTTTAGCTTCTGGGTGTTTTAACAGCCCCATGAATGCAGATTTGTAAATTTATTGCAGTGCCATCTGGTTTTTTGCTTGAACCAGATTACTGTTGGCTTGTGTCTGTCTATTGTGGTGGTCACTCCCTAGGAGCTTGCCCTCTCAATCTTAGGGAAGAGTGATGAATAGCAGGGGTCAATAGAAATGGGTCACAGGGCAGCTGTCCAGGACTGCCCTGAACTTGATTACCCCATTGCTGATTTTTTTTTTTTTTTAAAGAAGGACATAATATATAAGCTGTTTAAACTTCTCCTTTTCTTTATCGGGTATGACAATAAGGAAGTGCCATTTGCCATCTCCCCCCCACTCCACAGTAGTCATATTATATAGACAAAAAAAAAAAAAAATTAAGGCCACCTTATACCTAGTGTTGATATAAGTAAGGTTTGTATCATGTGAGCCAGTCTCTTGAGATTATTTTACAGGTGTTTCTAATGGGATTTCAGGAATTCTCCCACCATTGATTATAAACAGTTCAGTTATGTTCTAACAATTTAGTATTGTTTTAAACTAATTTCTAGTTTCCATATGTTATTCTAAAGTGGAGTTTTGCCATTGTTGTTAAGAAACAACAGTGAAGAACTATAAAATATTGGAGGAGCTAAAAGAAAAGTTATCACTAGAGTTCTTACATATATTAAAAGAATAATAACAGGATATTACAAACAACTATGCCAGAAATATGACAACTGAGATGAAATAGACAAACTCCTTGAAAATACAACCTAAAACTAACACAATATGATACAAAATTTGAATAGCCCTATATCTATTACATTGAATTAATTATCAAAATGCTCATGTGGTTTCATTGGTGATTTCAACTGACATTTAAGGAAGAAATAATAACAATCTTTATATAAAAACCTTTTCTGAAAAATAGAGCAGGAGAGAAAATTTCCTGATTTGTATTATAAAACCACCATAATAGTAATTCCAAAAACCTGACAGATATTACCAGAAAAGGAAATGAAGGAGAAAGTTGAGAGATGTGACTCCCTGTGTTTCCAAGTCATTTTGTACACCTGCTTTTCCATTTCATTTCCAGGAATAGGGGGATGGAGGGGAGTAAAGCAGTGCATCCTAGTGAAGAAAGTCAATTTTCTTAGTATCAGAATAATCTTCTCATCTTTTGGTATTAAGTATAAACTTTTACTTTAAGGATGTTCAAAGCAGATACAGTTTCCTTTTACTCCTAAAATGTGAAGCCAAAGAAACCACTTCTACTGTTTTCATAGCTTTTATTCATATCTGTTATGGAGGGCAAAGGCCTTGCAGGGCACATGAAAGTACTCATTACTTTTTGAAAATGTAGCATTACAACATGCAACTCCTTTGCTTCACATTGGTGCTAATAGGATCTGTCAGCCCAGCCTTTCTCTGTAATTGAGTAAATTGTGATGCTGTCTAATCCTTCTTCCAACCCCCATTCCCTTTGTGTATGTGTCCACTTTCCATCCTGAGAACGTGGGCAGTGATAAATAAAGCATTGAGTAGAGCTCTCTCAACTCTTTGAAAGCAGCATGATGCCAGCCCTCTAGTTATATTTCTTTAAGTGTTTACGTTTTTCTGTATTCTTTCTCTTGTGTAGCTGGAACCCTGGGGATGCAAAGCCATGAGAGAGGCCAAGAAGCTAACAAAGTAGCTGTCTCCCTTGTTAGCTTGTTCCTTTATTCTTTAAAAACAAGATAAAAACCATCTGGCTCAGGGCATTACATTTTCCTCCCCCATGCACCTCTATAGCTGGAGCCTTCACCTGCAGTGAGGGTTTACATTGATTAGGGAGGGAGCAGTAATTCAAGCTTCCATCCTCTTCAAGGATACTTTGCAGGCTTTAAAGGTGCTGACCCACTGAGTTAAACTGTCAAGGGAGGATAAAAAAGTATCTTCATCCCAGGAGGTAACAGCTGCCAGGTTTTCAACACCTTGCACACTGCTGGAAAAATGTCACAATTGTCAGCTGAAAGAGAAATGACTCTGTTGTCATTTTCTGTTAATGACTAGACCTTATAAAAGGAACTACTTATGCTTTAAAAAAAAAAAAAAAAGAAGGCATAAGGAACTGTTTTCTTTGCTTACTATCTCTTCTTCCCCTAAAAAAAATCCTACATTATTGTAAACATCACTTTGGAATAGATCTGCAAAAACCAGAGGTGAAGAGCTAAAAGTTAAAATAACCAGTTTAAGCATGGAAGTCTGATGGGTATAGCTCCTTTCTACAGTTGGATGAGTAGGAGGAAAAAGCACATCACTGACACAGAAAATGGCATTGTAGTGTGTATTAACAAAACAACAACAACAAAAAGTCATTCATAAGCCAGTGAACTGAGAGAAAACATACTATATTTCTGTTCTTTGGAGGACAATTTGTTTTCAAGGCAGCATCCAGATGGGTAAATACCACGACATTTCTTTTTTCAAGAGAGCTACTTCTTTTCTTACTTAAAGGGGGCGGGGATCAAACCTCACAGAATTTACTTCCTTTTAAGAGCTCTATAGTGTTCAAATATGATGGTATTCTCTTCTTTCTGATTTGATTGATGAGGGGAAAAGGTTTAATGAAGTCCCTGCTACCAGGCAGGCAGTTTTTTTTCTATTTGTTTTAGGTTAGTCATTTTAATTGTATTGAGTAATTAGAAGGTACACACAGCCAAGGGAGCTTTGTTCTGATAATTGCTCAAGAAAACCCATTCCCTATCTACCATTGCTTTGTGTTAAGACACTTCTCCCTCTAGTGGCAATAGTAAGCACTTTGGCTTGGCAGTAGGCAAGGTGTAATTGCAGTATGACAAACTGTGCTTAAGGGACTATCTTGTAAATACTTTAGGGTTTGGCATTATTTCATTATATGTGTGGTTTTTACCCTATGAAACTTCTTACTTCCTTTTTTTTTTTTCCAGAAGTGCTCTGGGCTTTGCATGGAAAAATTGCCTGAAATGTTTATTAAAAAAAAATCATAGTGCATTCTGGGTAATGTTTTGCAGCTTGACTTAATTTTAGTCATCTGTTTTAATTACCTATTTATAAAAATGCTTTTGCATTTGTAGACATTATTTAATACTTTGGAAGAAGCACCTCATTTGAAATAAATAAATAAATTTGTACATA